TTAAACAATCTTTGTTGTCTGTAAATTTTATACATATTTTATGTCTATGGTTTCATATAATTTAAGTATTAAATGTGATATTAAAATTTGCCAATAAAAATATGAAAACAAAAAAACCCCACAAGATTTGTTTTCTCAACTCCACATACATTGCAAAATCAGATTTGACTAGTATTATGAGACATCCATATGTCCACCATAATCCAGCTGCTATTTCACTGAAGCCAAACTATAGGTAAATATCGTATTGGAACCTAGCTACTAAATTAATGAGAAACTAATTTGATAATTCTTCAGTTATTAATATTTTATACCCTATCAAACACAGGCATTTTCATTTTCACCTGCTGAAAATGAATTACTTTCATTTATCCGGTAACTATTTCTCCTTTGGCTTTCAGTCATGAACTTTCACTTTTGTTTGTTCATTTGTTTCTATGTTTCTATGCTTCTATCCTTAAGCTCAAGAAGTATCATGTCTACTCTCTCTCAAAAAGAGGTCCAAAGTACCATAGTGAGCCTGGAGAATGAACAGCTGATTCAGGCTGGATCTTGGGCAATCCAGTTTCTACACATCCAAAAGACCAATCAGGAAGCTGATTTTGGCTAGTGAAACTGTGGCAGTGGGGACAGTAGCTCCAAATGTGCTATTGGTCTGTTTGGGCCCCCAAAAGCTTCAGAGCACTCTCATGCCGTGTCTGGAAGAGTTTTTGGAACAGTTTATACAAAATAGATACAAAATGACAAATACCTATACTCGAGTATAAGCTGACCTGAATATAAGCCGAGACACCTAATTTTACCACAAAAACTGGGAAAACCTATTGACTTGAGTATAAGTCGAGGATGGGAAATACAGCAGCTACTGGTACATTTCAAAATAAAAATAGATACTAATAAAATTATATTAACTGAGACATCAGTAAGTTAAATGTTTTTGAATATTTACCCAAAACTGTAATTTAAGATGCAACTGTCCAACTCTGATTAAATCTAATTGTCAAGCTATTTAGTTTTAAACAATTGTGGTTTAGTGGTTGTATTTATATTATTGTTCAGGAGATCTATGAAGCAGTATCAAAGGGGAAATCTGATTTAAATAAATTATTTACATTGGTCTTTTTTGCTGGTTTCAATGGCTTTAAACCATTCACTAATTACATTTATTTTTCCTTCAGAAAGATATATGAAAGAGGACACTAAAGCTCTGTATCAATGATATTTGCATATGATTTGAATATTGAGTATGTTTCTGTAGAATGTGCATTATATAAATACATATCACAATATGATAACAAATTGTGAGGGATTCATAAACAAAGCATGAGATCCCAATAAATTTTCTGGCCCTGGACAAAAAAGATCAACATTTTGGAGGCTATTATGTGACATCTTTGTATCATGATCTCTTTCTCCTTCTTTTCCTAATTATTTAGTTTTGTGGAGTATATTTGAGGGGTATGAAAAAAAGCAGACAAGATACACATGGACAGTGCTTCTGTATTAAGAACATTTTTTAAAACCCAAATTCACAGCATCTAGTAGGTAGGTGGCACTGCTGTGTTTTCCATTGCCCATCTTTATTACAGAGATTTTAAAATCTGAATGTTATCCATCTAGTTCTTCAGTATGGACCATGAAACATAATTTAGGCTGGGGGGGGGGGCATTTGGACCATGAAAGCTGTGAAAAAGGAGGACAGCCTTGTTAATCTGGTCTAAATCCAGCTCTTTCTTTCTGAAGCAATTTGTTAAACATGTATGTGTGAGCTCACTTTTAGATGTGCTTGCTTGTACAATTTAGTTAAACCACTAGTTTCTTATTTTAAATCAACACATTTGTCAAAAGGTGCCCGAGAGGGGTCCTCTTGCCCCTATTTGATAAACTGGTCTACTTAGAAAAGACTTTTAAATGTTCGAGGAACAGAAATCCTTTTTGCAGAAACCATGCTGAAGAATCCCCAGTATGGCTTGCTGTTGAGATATTATTACAGTTTTGAAAATCTGCCTTCCTTTTTTCATTTTTCATTTTCTTTTGGACCAATTGCTAAGAAAAGAGATAGTACAATCAACAGTATTCTTGCCACTCAGCCAGTTTTTTGGGGGGAACAGACTTTGCAGTTTACGCAAACCTTTTGAACTGGGTTTCATTCACAGACTGACTAACACTGCTGGTTTTCAACTCTTGGAACCACATGTACTTAAAAACCATGACAAAACTTCATTTCGAGAGGTGGCATTCTTGGTAATTGACCTTTTGATAAGCAGTTGCATTGCTTTCACACAGCACTCACTAACTGTTGTAAATATCTGAAAGAACTTGCCCAGGCCTTTGAAAATTTAGGGCAAATGTCAAGATTTGTATCATTTACATTCTATTTCACTTGCGTAGCTGTTTATATATACTTTATATCATCTTGGGGAATGATTCCATCTCATTTCTGATCTAGAGAATGGGATGAGCTGGTGGGAGTCAATACATTTGATCTTATGAAGATCAAAAAAAGCTTCTCAGCATATTAATAATATCTACAGAATTCAATTCTACAGCAGCGGATTGCTACTGGCAAATTTGCAGACACAGAAAGAAAAAGATTGATATGATGCCTCCATGTATACTTGGCACAGAAGTGATGCCGAAATCTGTAGTTTTCAAAGCCCTGAGGGATGCATAATTTTTGCATAAAAGGGACACTTGTATAGCACAGGTGCTTGAAGGGTACAAGTGTAAAAATGTATTCACAAGCAGACATCTTTATACACATAAGTTTCCATTCACTGACACTGTCCCATTTTGAAATCTTCCTTCCCCCTCCCTCTTTGATTAGCCGGCTTAGCAAAGCTGGCTGGCACTTTCCCTGGCCTCTGATTGGTTGGGAGGCGGGTCTATGTTGGTGCTTTCTTTGATTGGTGGAGATCTGGTGTCATAGATAGGGAACTCCTCGCAGCTGGGCAGGGAAGCCCTGAGGCTTCCAATTGGCTCATGGAGGCGGTTTGAGGGAGGGAGGGAGCTCCAGGGGCCGTGCCAGCCCCTGGGTGTGTGGGGATGGAATGTAGTAAACAAAAGAATGTCCAAAAGCCAATCTAGCAGGATTATGTAAATACCACTGTCCACAATGGGAGTTGTTGTTCCAGACATTTTCCTATGTCAGGGGACAAAGGGAGAATCTCCACAATGTATATTTGGTGATGGGATCATAATCACAGCTTCATCTTGGACCTTTGTCCCACGGGTAGCTGGGATCTCCAAAAGGAAATTGTGGGGCTGTGTGCAATGGCCTCTTGCTGGGATTCTGGAAGGTCCTTTGTCCAAGGATTATGACCCAGCTCTGGCTGTCATCTGGGGTATAGATATGATGTCTGGAAATTCCTGAAGAGAGAGGTTACTGGAGTTATAGTTTCCAGGTTCATGTACATTTGCCTTCATTTTATAGAGCTTACTACTAAAAAATTTAGAGAAAAATAAGGAGTAGACTCTGTGTGGTACTTGGTATGAACGAGAGAGAGAGAGAGAAGAAAAAGAAAGAGAGAGAAGAGTGGGGGTCTCACCAAGGCTGAGCAGCTGCTAAGGATCCTCTGTAGTGTTTTGTTAGATTTTTAACTTATTCAGTTATGGGCACATTTGCAGAAAATAAAATAAAGAAAAATAAAGAAATATGGAGAAATATATGGTAGCAAGGAGAGAGAGGCATGGTAGCAAGGATTGGCCATCCAGCTTGTTCCTTGGCTGTGAGAAAGGGGGGGGGGGTACTTGAGCAGTTTCTGCTGACCCTGCGGAGATGGGGCTATGGTGTGGGGACTGATACTGGCCCTTGAGAAGCTCAAGGAGAGGTGGGCGGGGAAATGGACGGGGACCATTTCCAGTTCATCTGGCTCTTCATCCTTGGGAAACCACAATTCCCACAGATCAAACTATGTCTTCTTCTTTTTTTGAGGGGTGGAGTTGGAGGTCTTCCATAACAGAAGTGACTGCCCTGAGGCTACACAGTGAACACTATCATGATGCATTTACACATACAGATATGAGAAAGACTGAGCACATTTATAATTCCTTAGACCCACTACTATCATTCAAAATGCAGTTATCCGTACAGATTGGCTGAGATTAGGGACCTCAGCAAAAGTGAAAAACTGTGATTTTTTAAAAATCTTTTTTTACCTGAGAGAACACTACTCTTGGAATCTCTAGTTCCTTCAGCATGACTCTATGGTCAACTTTCAACTTTCAAATGCATCATGACATTGTCCATAGAGTCACGCTGGAGGATCTAGAGATTCCTATAGAAAACATATTAATCAAATCCATGAATAATCAATCTGTAACCTCTCTCTTGAGCAATTACCAACCTTATTATCTTCCAGGGCTCTGCAGGATCCAGTCTTTTCCTCCCTCTTCCTTCTGTTTATCTGTCTTCCTTATGTGCTCCAGTCTGTACACCTTCTTCCTATTCAATAATTTAAACTTACCTTTTAACCTTCCTACTTTCTGCATATTTTTAAAAAATTCAGAACTGATTCCAATAAACCACAGGAAATAGACCGAATGCTGCTTCTGTTTAGAACTACACAAAGGTCATGCCAGCTTCAGAACCATGGCTTCTTGACTAAAAGGCTTGTGCCAGATTGCTAGAAGCATGCAGATTTAATGTAACCATTCAATGAGGAGAGAAATGTACATTTTCAATATGTTTAGAACCTTTTTTAAAAATTAGCAAATTACATACAGCAATTTAAAGTTAAAAACCTCCCAGCCATTACAAAACAAGTGGGATTATTTCAAATTTGCCATTATTCCCACAAACCGTTCTCCCTCTGTGTTGTGTTAGATTAATAACTGATTGAAAATGTTCATAAAAATGTAGCCTTTGAAAATAGCATCTAGTTTTGATAACATTTCATTTTATATCAACATAAAATGGGATTTCAGGCATGAAGACTACTTCAGATATCAAAACTATGGATAGATAATCCTGCTATGAGATGTAAAGAGAAACAACAAAGTTCATTAAATGTTAGCATTTTATTGGGTTTTAAAAAAAACATTTCAAGTAATATTCTTCCTAAATGAAATTCCCACCCCACCCCACCCCACCATGTTTTATTTTTTAAAGTGGCATTTTGTGCTGAAATACACTAAAACCACTATTTTGATAATTTCGAACCAAATTTTGCTTAATAATTAAAATTGATTTTATTAAATATTAAAAACTCTCAATCTTTTCAAATGCATTTTATCTGACATTTTGGAAGCTACTGTATGAACCATTTCAGAAATACTAACACTGAATGCTGTCAATAATATAAATGTTCTCAGCACTTCCCTCTAACAAATGGGAATGCACACTTTTAATACCATAACAACACCCCTCCTCCCCTTCTTCTTTGCATCTTCTAAACCAATCTTTCATTCTTGCCTTGTTCATTTTCATGCCTGACCCATGACATGTTCTTTTAGGCCAGTGGTTCCCAAATTTTGGTCTTTCAGATGTTTGAATTTTAACTTTTAGACTGTTGGCCAGGCTGGTAGGATTTTGAGGAGTTGAGGTGTAAAATACTTGGAGGACCAAAGTTTGGGGATCATTATTTTAGATCAATATCTCCTGCAGATTCGGATTAGGAGGATGAAGAGAGCCAACTATATTAAAAATAGATGCTCAAGTCATTTAGTGGGCCTTTTGGGAAAACGTAAGTCCAGGATTGTATTAGAGCTGCTATAATGATTTTGTTTCCCATTTATATATTCAAGCAAAGACAGGGTTTCTGCCCAAGCCTTTTTTTCTCATTACTGAAAGGAAGCATATTGAGCAAATGACTATAAAATGGATGACAACTTCTTGGTTGTGACCACACAAATACTTCGGTGTATTCAGATTTGTGTACTTCTTTGTGTGCTTATCAACACACACCCTATAATATAATCAGGAGTCTTGGAGCAATATCCCAGTCCTTGAATAGTGAGCCCCACATCAGAACTTATTAGTTTAGACTACTGTAACATGGGTGCAACCATTTTACAGCCTTTTCAAAGAAATCTGTCTTGGCTCATCTGTCTCCATATGTGATTCCACAAGAAAGCAGGTTCTTTACTCAGGAGACAATGCAGTAGATAACTCTGTGCTGTGCAGAGGACTGTCTTGTCTTCTGTGCATTTGCTCCTGGCTCCTCAAACACTGGGATCCACACACCCCTCTTGGGAAGGATCTTGGCCAACCAGAAGCTTTGATAGCATGATACAATAGCAGAGGAGGTTTTATCACATGCTGGATTCAGATTCCTAGAGAGAAAACACAAATGGAAGTATTTGGATTTGCTGCCAGAGGATATTTTTAAAAGTATTTTATAGTGTTTTAGAATCTGTTTCAGAGTCCCCAAGTCAGGATGGATGAGTTTTTTTCTACCATATTGGCTTTCCAAAACCACAACCAAAGCAACACCTCAAATCCTTTCAATACCATGTATAAAGAAGTGCACCAAATTTGGGACTATCAAATTTAACTAAACTGAATTTCACCTTCCCCCATTTGCATTTTAAAAATTGATAGGCACATTTGTTCCCAGCATGGAAGGGACATGGCATGCCTTCCCACTGCATGGTTTTTAAAGATGAAGACTCTGTTGAGGAAAAGCTGGCAACTCTAAAACACTCCTAAACACAAACTATTCAAAATCAGATTTGATGCTCTCTGCTTAGATGGAGAAATCTCTTGGTTTCCTTTCACCAGCCTTTGCCTTTTAGACTACAGAAAAGAAGGGAAGGCTGCTTTAGTCTCTGCCAAATTGAAAGCCCCTGTTTTTATTGAAAAAATATCACATCGAGGAAGGGGCAAGCTTGTTTTCTGCAACTTTGGAGATTAGCGCATGGAGCAATAGATTCAAATTACAATAAATAAATTCCACATAAACATTAGGAAGGATTTTCTGATGGTAAGATCTTTTCAGCAGTTGAACTCTCTGCCTGGAGAGTGATGGAGCCTCCTTCTCTGGAGGTTTTCAAGCAGAGGCTGGATGGCCATCTGTTGGGGGTGCTGTGATTGTGCTTTTCCTGCATGGCAGCGGGTTAGTTTGGATGGCCCTTGTTGTCTCTTCCCACTCTATAATTGTATGAAAAGCAAAAACATGCCCCCTTAAGGACATTTTTCTTTTAAAAATCACTAAAAACATGCCCCTCTTGAACTGCAACTTCAGAATCCAAAGAATACAGCAATAATATTGGAAATGGAATCAAAGTGGTCTAATCGTGTAGTGTGGATGGAACCCATATTGGCTGCATTTGTGCTGGGGCAGGATGCTGCCTGTTTTACCACTGTGAGTTAAGTTGCATATTTAGTTATTTGAAGTGCTGTATTAAATAAGAATAGACTGCACACGGCTTGGGAACACCAAGAGAAATGAAATCAAGAGATGCATTTCTCAAGACTATCGGGACTCAGATTTTATCTGAAATGTTTCTGTTTTAATGGTGGGACTGCGGTATGAGGGAATAAAAATGTATTATTAATATGTGGTACGTTGACATATTGTTTAATATATGCCTTTTATGGAATGTATTTAGTATGATGATGTATTTTAATATGTTGTGCCCCATCTTGAGCCACAAGAAGCAGATAATAGGTATATTATTATTATTATGCAAAAAGGCCTTATTTTACATCAAAACTGGTAAGAAGGCTAATGTCTGCCACTCTATTCAAGGGCTCGGTTAGCTCTTCAAATCATTCAAGAACTTGTCAGTGATATACAGACTTGGTGCAATGAGTTAATGGATTGTGGATATAGAAACCACAATGAGATGAGTGCTGTATGTGTTTCATTTCTCAGTTTAAACAACAGGAATGTGCATATAATCTACACATTTATAACCACGGTTGAGCAAAGAGGGGGAAATGGTCTGTATAAAGTGAAAAACTCACAAATGCTTTGCACTCTGCGGTCTGTAGCAAACTTGAGAATTAGTTAAAGGATGCATCAGTGAGGAAATAAAACACCACAAAAAAGAAAACAAACAAGATAAAATGACAGGAATGTGCTTTCTCGTTGTTGATGGCCCAGCAAAAATATGAGGTATGAAGGGATCACACTTTTGTCTTTGAGGATCATTCTCAGTTCACAGCATAAGAGGAAGCAAAGATAGTTTTGCTCACATTGAATTTGAAAAGCTGAACACACTTCTAGTGGAAGTGTTATGCACACCTAGTGAGTTTAGATCAAAGCTTTCCCAAAGATATTGATTGGCAAGAGGAAACCAGCTTAAATTCATCCATAGTTTATCACATTTTAACAGAGTTCAAGTTTGTTTGTTTGTTTTTTTAAAAAGGAAGATAACTAAGATTTCAGGATATGGCAGTAGCAGGCAGTGGCTTTTGTGACAAAGGTCAATTAATCTGCTCCAGATTTTAGTACAAAGTAAGGGAACCTTCAAAGTAGTTGCACAGTATTTTGGAGACAGGGTTCAGCACTTTGGATAGCTTCCCCTTCTCTGAACTAAAATTCAGAGGTGATTCATGGCTACAATGACATGGAAGGTGGGAAGGGTGCAGATTTCTTGGTAAAGCAAATTATAGTTGAAATATTGCATTATTGTTGCATCTATATTTGAAGCTTGACAGGTTCCTCACCAAAAACTTTCTGAGACTCTGGAAATTTGAGCACTGAGAAAAAGAATTTGCCTCACTCTTGCATCATGAGGTGCCCACAACTGCTTCTCCAAAGGATTATCCCTGTGCACAGAAGAGTGCTCAGGACATCAGTGTCAGGTACTCTGATCTCCAGCATATCAGAAACACTTTTACTGGGATGAGAAAATAGATATTTGGTTTTTCTTTTGGCCATTCATGACCATAAATGTTTGAATATTGTTAAATCAATCTTATGATAGCATAATGGCTAAACATGATTCCAGCCTACGTTTCACTTTGTGGTATGGGCGATGGAAGTCTATGACAGATGTAGGATGGGTGACATCTGGTTTGGCAACAGTACAAGTGAAAGGGATCTAGGAATCTTATTAGAGCACAATCTGAACATGATTCAGTAGTGTGATCCAGCATTTTAAAAAGCCAATGTGATTTTGGGCTGCACCAATAGTATCTAGAGATTGAGAGAAGTAATAGTACCACTCTATTCTGCTTTGGTCAGACCGCACTTGGGATACTGTGTGCAGTTCTGGGCACCACAATTCAAGAGGGATATTGACAAGCTAGAAGATGTCCAGGGAAGGGTGACCAAAATGGTAAACAGTCTAGAAGCTCAGCTCACCTGAAATATTGTGTCCAATTCTGGAAACCACAATTCAAAAGAGATATTGACAAGCTGGAATGTGTCCAGAGGAGGGCGACTAAAATGATCAAGGGTCTGGAGAACAAGCCCTATGAGGAGCGGCTTAAGGAGCTGGGCATGTTTAGCCTGAAGAAGAGAAGGCTGAGAGGAGATATGATAGCCCTGTATAAATATGTGAGAGGAAGCCACAGGGAGGAGGGAGCAAGCTTGTTTTCTGCTTCCTGGAGACTAGGACGCGGAACAATGGCTTCAAACGCCAAGAAAGGAGATTCCATCTGAACATGAGGAAGAACTTCCTGACTGTGAGAGCCGTTCAGCAGTGGAACTCTCTGCCCGGAGTGTGGTGGAGGCTCCTTCTTTGGAAGCTTTTAAACAGAGGCTGGATGGCCATCTGTCAGGGGTGATTTGAATGCAATATTCCTGCTTCTTGGCAGGGGGTTGGACTGGATGGCCCATGAGGTCTCTTCCAACTCTTTGATTCTATGATTCTATGATTCTAGGAGTAGCTTAGGGAGCTGGGTATGTTCAGTTTGCAGAAAAGAAGGTTGAGGAGACATGATAGCTGTGTTTAACTATTTGAAAGGATGTCACATTAATGAGGGGAGAAGCTTGTTTTCTGCTGCTTTACAAGGACATGGAGCAATGGATTCAAATTGTAGGTCCTAGACACTAGAAATAATCTCCTGATGGTTAGAGCTGTTTGGCAGTGGAATATGCAACCACAAGTGTGTGGTGAACTCTTCTTTGAAAGTTTTAAAACAGAGGCTTGATAGCCATCTGTTGGGAGTGTTCGAATTGTGGAATTCTGTGTGTCAGAATGGGGTTGAACTGATAGGCTCATGTGTTTTCTCCCAACATTGTGTTTTTATAGATTGTATTCTCTGGCTCAGATTTTGAGGAATTCAGGCCATCATAATACAGATATGTCTCAGCAAAACTTCTGCTAGTAAAGTTTCCTTTATGAAGGTTTTAGAGTTTCCAAAATCTTCATATAGTGAGAAGTGCGCTCCTTCCCACTTAGTGGAAGGGAAAATCCTTTCATTAAGGCCAGACCATCACCAGGTTGGACCTGTTGTGAATCAGCTCTTTAGGCTGATAACAAAGGAACTAGAGCACATTTTCCACCCAACTTGCTTTGGCATGATAGTCCTTATTAGTTATCCATCATTTCACTTTTCAGCTGCTTTTAAAATATCCAAATTCCTCTCTCCTACTGCTTTCTCCTTTGTATCCAGTTTATGCAAGCCTGAATTCAAAGTGCAAAGTAGCACTCAGCAGGTAGGAGGGAAAAGGGCAGAAACTTGCTCTTCCTAGTAGACTGAGGCAAAAGTAAGCTGCTTCAGCCTCACCTAGCTTCTGTGACCTTCCTCACTAATACCTTTTGCCTTCTTGAAAACATTCTGATGTTGCTTAGACAGAATTGTCCTTCTGTCTACATCTATCTACATCTGATGAGATAGATAAAGAAATAGGAAGTGGATGTAGAGGAACCCCAAAGTCATGCCCCCAACTCATAAAAATATAGATCAGCATTCAACTTTTTTTATTTAAATAGCCTAAGATCCCAACATCTCTAAGTGATATACAGGAAGGTTTTACTGGGATCCCAGCAATTCTGGTGGCGGTTGTCTTTGCCAATACAAGGGAAATACTGTATTTTCACAAAGAACTTCAGCTTCAATAATTAATTATTTTACACCCCACCTTTCTCCCAGAAGAGGACCCAAATAAAAATTTGGGTAAAGTTCTCCAGTTATAGAATATGTGCAGAGCAATAGGATACATCACTAGGAAGTCCAAACTTCCCAGGCCTACTGTGGGCACTGGCCCTGCCAGATGGATAATTCTCCCAAAATAACTTTTACGAGCTCTGGATCTGCACAGATGAGAGGCTCGGTTGTTGTTAAGCTTTTGAATGGGATACACTTAAATGGAAGTATGCTATCTGTATGAAATCATATCCTCACATTGACATCACATTGACATCATGACATATGA